AATAATATCGGTAAGGGGGAAGGCAAAGCTACCAAGAAAGGCAAGGGCAAGGGAAAGGGTAAAGGGAAGTCTCCTTCTACTAACCCAACTCCTAAACCCAAGCCTGTTGCTGACTCTGATTGCTTTCACTGCAATGAAAAGGGACATTGGAAGCGCAACTGTCCCAAATACCTAGAGCAACTTAAGAAGATCAAGGACAACCAGGTTGGCACCTCAGGTATATATGTGATTGAATTACATGCATTCCGTACTAATTCCTGGGTATTCGATACTGGAAGTGATACTAACATCTGCAATGATTTGCAAGGACTAAAGAATGTTAGAGAACTAAGAGATGGCGATTTAGAACTTAATGTTGGCAATGGCACTCGAGTAGCTGTCAAAGCTATAGGACAATATAATCTTTTGCTTCCAAATGGCCTTAATCTTATTTTGAAAAATTGTTGTTATGTACCTAGTATGACTAGGAATATTATCTCTACTTCTCTCTTGTATGAACAAGGTTTTCGTTATAAGTTTGACTTTGATTCTGAAAACATTTCTATGTTTAAAGAAATGTGTTCTATTTTGAGGCTAGTCCCAAAAATGGAATATATGAAATCGATTTAAATGGTTCATACAAAAAGGATAATTCAATGTTCAACTTAAATAAGAAAACAAAGTTAGACACAAATAAAAATTGTTTATGGCATTGTCGACTTGGGCACATAAGTAAATCTCGCATTGCTAAGCTCCAAAATGATGGGATCTTAGAGTCAACAACCTTAGAGTCTTTTGATGTATGTGAATCATGTCTATGTGGCAAGATGACCAAAGCTCCTTTTACCGGTGTTGGTGAAAGAGCTTCGGATCTATTAGGACTCATATACACTGATGTATGTGGACCTTTTAGAACAATAACCAGAAGCGGTGAAAGATACTTCATTACATTTACTGATGATTACAATAGATTTGGATATGTGTATGTCATGAAACACAAATATGAAGCATTCGATGTCTTCAAGGTTTTCAAAAATAAAGTATAGAATCAACTTGGTAAAAAGATTAAAACCATACGATCTGGTCGTGGTGGTGAATATCTGAGCTATGAGTTTGATGAACATCTGAAGAATTGCGGCATAGTGTCACAACTCACTCCACCGGGAACACCTCAGCATAATGGTGTTTAGGAAAGGAGAAATTGTACTCTACTTGATATGGTGTAATCAATGATGAGTCATAATTCCCTTCATCATTCATTTTGGGGTTATGCCCATGAAACCGCAGCTCGAATTGTAAACATGGTCCCATTTAAAAAGGTTAGTAAGACTCCTTACGAGTTATGGCATGGAAAGGTTCCATCAATGTCTTACTTAAAGATATGGGGTTGTGAAGCATATGTTAAAAGAGAAACTTCTTACAACCTTGACCCTAGATCTCAAAAGTGTATCTTTGTGGGATACCCAAAAGAAACATGGATTATTACTTCTTCCAGAAAGAAGAAAATCGGGTGTTCATAGCTCGTAAAGCAATGTTTCTTGAAACTGACTTTATCTCGCATAAAGTAAGTGGGAGCCCCATTGACCTCGAAGAAATTCGAGAGAAACAACCTTTAGTTGAGAATGATAATCAACAAAGCACTGTTGAACCTGAATTATCATTCAGATGCCGAAAACCACACCAACTGTACGACACTCCAGTGGAACTCGTCAGGAACCTAACAGATTTGGATTTGTCATTACTGAAGTGGAGGTCTTCTTGATGGATCAATGTGAGCTCATAAATTACAAGGCTACTACTGCAGAAGCAGAGTTTGACAAATGGCTTGAAGCCATGAGAACTGAAATTCAAGCCATGAGAACTGAAATTCAATCCATGAATGACAATCAAGTATGGGACTTGGTTGAGTTACCTCCTAACAACATGGCTGTTGGAAGCAAGTGGATCTTCAAGAAGAAGATCGACATGGACGGAAATGTACAAAATTTCAAAGAACGATTTGTCGTGAAAGGATATACTCAAATTCAAGGTGTTGACTTTGAAGATACTTTCTCGCCAGTTGCTAAGATTAAATCTATTAGGATTATCATGGCCATACCTGCATATTATGACTATGAGATATGGTAAATGGATGTCAACACCGCTTTCCTTAACGGATATCTTGAGGAAGATGTTTATATGGAACAACCTAAAGGTTTTTTCAAACCGGATAACCTAAAGAAGGTGTGTAAACTGAAGAAGTCCATTTATGGATTGAAACAAGCATCTAGGGCCCGATATCATCGTTTTGACGAAAACGTCAAAAAGTTTGGTTTCTCAGAAAGTCCCGATGAACTATGTGTATACATCAAAGCAAGTGGGAGCCATATTGTTTTTATAATTCTATATGTTGATTACATATTACTGATCGGGAGAGATATCCCGAAATTGAAGGAGACTAAGGCCTACCTTAGTAAGTCCTTTCAAATGAAAGATCTAAGGGATGCTGCATACATACTCGGTATTAGGATCTATAGAGATAGATCCTAATGACTCATTGGTTTGAGTCAGAGTACATACATTGACAAAATCTTAAAACGTTTTTCAATGGATAACTTGAAACGAGGAATTGTTCCCATACTGCCTGGTACCATTCTTTCTAAGGCTGACAGCCCTAGTACTGAAGATGAGATCAAATGAATGAAACGCATACCGTATGCTTCAGCAGTAGGTTCAATTATGTATGCTATGACATGTACGAGGGCAGATGTAGCTTATGTTATTAGTATAACTAGTAGGTATCAAGCTAATCCTGGCGAAAAACGTTGGGTGGTTGTTAACAACATACTTAAGTACTTAATAAGAACTAAATATATGTTTTTGGTCTATGGAGGAGTTGAAGAAGAGCTTACTGTAAGATGTTACACTGACGCTGGTTTCAACACTAATCAAGATAACTCACGATCACAGTCGGGATATGTGTTCACACTTAATGGAGGAGCCATTGCCTCGAAGAGTTCAAAGCAAGAAGTGGTTGCACTTTCTACAATAGAATCAAAGTACATAGCTGTGTGTGAAGCGGCTCAAGAAGTTGATTGGATGAAGAAATTCATCGGTGATCTGGATGTTGTTCCAAGCATCAAAAATGCCATTGAGATGCTTTGTGACAACACTGGTGCCATCACTATCGCAAGAGACCCGATGGTTACCAACAAGACTAGACACATTCAACGAAAATTCAATTTCATTCGTCAGGAATTAGAATTGGGAAATGTACGCATTGAAAAGATTCATACATATGATAATCTAGCAGATTCGTTCACAAAGGCTATACCTCAAAGCAAGAGGGTCCAAAGGCTACAAAGGTTGTTATTTCTAAACACCCTATGGTTGTTGTAACATCATTCTAACATCTTTAAAAGGATCCTTGATGGTTTGTTTTGTTGTCACACTCGAAATTTATAAGAAATTTTTAAAGCTTTCGTTGTCGGTTTTTGTGAAAACTATCTATTTTATGCAACTACAACCCTTCATAATTTTCTTAATAATCATTCGATAAAATTCTTCAACTTTAAGGGATAAACTTTTAGTGATCATAGTTGTTGGAGTTGTTGGTATATAATTTTCTTATCGATCATTCAACAAATTTTTTGAATTAGAATGTCTAGACTAGAATGAATCTAATTTAGTTGTTTACGTGAATTTTGAAAAGCATACAGATTGAGTGTGTGCAAGTGTTTTGAAAAAGAATGGGTTGTTATCTTTTATATTTTTCTTTTTTTAAGTGTAATTGAAATAATTGAAAAAAAAAAGATAAAAGAAATTAAAAAATGCATAAAAGCCATTTTATATGCCACGAGGATTATTCATGCATGATTTAAAAATCACAAGGACCATTCATAAAAAAATGATACACTAAGTTTGTAACTTTTGATAAACCATATGGACAATTTATTTAATTTGACTTCTTGAAATGGTATTTTGAAATATATAATATTACTGATTTTTCGATCAAATGTCATGTTTTAAGTCTTTCGTGCTATCTATTTCCCAATTGTTATCCACTCGTATTGTGTAGTATATATTTTCTGATTGTTATGTATCTTAAACTTTTTGTAAAATTTAAGTAAAAAACGAACAATTCTCTCTAAAATATAATATGCATAAACATGTTAAGAAAATTTGACCAAGTCTATCTGAATTCATTAATACAATAATGCAAAATATATGAATAAACTACAATCTCTCATTGACTAAAAGACATCCATTATCTTGTAACTTTGAAAGACTGCATTAAACCACAAAGGTTATTAATATTACAATTATAACTTGACTTTTTTTTAATTAAAACAAATTAGAATACTTTATGCATGAATTTTAGCATGAATATTTTAGAATACCTTAACCCTCTTCAATATAGCCTTGGCCTTCTCATCACTCTTGAAATGGTCACGCACAGGCTGCAACACATGAAACTCATGTAAAGTTCGTAAATATATAAATAAAACAATACCAAATAAGAAGTTAATTCAGAACAAGACATGACATGACATATCATATTGTAGTATGTTATTGGAGTGCACTGAGACTGATATTAATAGGAAATTTTTTTTTCTATCCCGTCTTCTAAGGGACAAGACAAGACATAAAATGATATCATGTTTGCAGGACATGACACGACAATGGAGATTGTACTGCGTTTGGAGTGAATTGGATGAGAATTGATATTAATGTGACAAAAAAATGTTTTTTTGTCCCACCTAAAAGGGGGACATGACATCTCTATTTGTGTTGTGTGTACAAAAAGCTTAAATGCCCTCCTCGTTAAATCATATAAACTATATATCTGCAATATCCTGTTCAAAGATTTGGATAATGCATGTTACAAATCAGCAGGATGAAACTCTGCTTTTTCGTAAGCACCAATTAATTGTTAATAACTAGTAAAAACCCTGATTTTTAAAGAAAAATGTCATCAATCAAATACCTATAAAATTAGACTTAAATGAATAAAGAAACAAGAGTTATGATTTTTTTTAAACTCACTTTTCACCTCCATTTTCCTCTTTCCTTTCAACCTTGAACTCATTAAACCAAGGGAATACAATGTATTTAATGTACTCAAGACATGGATTCCCATCAACAATATTGGGTGGACAATATGCTTTCTTTATCTTTAAATTAACCTCAGTCTGTCACACTCATCATACAAATTATAACAACATACTTTAATACTAAAAAGCAATATATATGGGAAATTTTACCTCTTCATCGTCCATAAAAACAGCAGAAGAAGAATTAGATTTTGACATCTTTTCTTGTCCTTGTAACAAACCAGGAAGCATATCTACATAACCAAAGCAAACACAACAATCATATTAATTAAAAGGGTAAAACTACCATAAAAAAGAACAGCATTATATTTTGGGCAGTTTTGTTATTTAACGACTATTATATTACTTTTTCGAATCAAACGAGAAAGTTTTAGACATATTTTTTTTCAAATTAACCATTTTGAACTGTTATATTAGGTTTCACTCATAATTTTGTAAACTAACCATTCTGAGTTGTTATATAAGGTCAAAGTGATTAGATTTAAAAAATGTCAGAAACTTTTATAGAAAAAGAAAGAAACAACAATTATATTAATAAACGGGCAAAATTAAAAAGAAAAAAAAAGAAGAAGAACAACATTATGTTTTGAGCATTTTAACCACTTATAATTTTTTTCTAGTTAAACCAGAAATGTTTCATACATTTTTTCAAATTAACCATTTTGACATGTTATATGACGTTTCACCGGTTATTTTTCCAAATTAACCATTTTGAGCTGTTATATCATGTCAAAATGGTTGAATTATAAAAATGTTTGAAACTTTCATAGAAAAAGCAAGAAACAACAAACATATAATTATTTGGACAATTTTGCAGTTGAACCACCAATACTTTATTTTTACCGATCAAACCATACATATGATTTTCAGACTTTTTCCAAATCTTTCATTTTGATATTTTTGGTAAAAATGGTTAAATCGGAAACATGTCTATAACTTCTATGGTTTCGTTGGAAAAAATAAAGTATAAGTGGTTAAAGAGAAAAAGTTGCCCAAAAATATAATGGTTTTCTGTAAGCGGTGAAAGATACTTCATTACATTTACTGATGATTACAGTTGATTTGGATATGTGTATCTCATGAAACACAAATATGAAGCATTCGATGTCTTCTAGGTTTTCAAAAATAAAGTATAGAATCAACTTGGTAAAAATATTAAAACCATACGATCTGATCGTGGTGGTGAATATCTGAGCTATGAGTTTGATGAACATCTAAAGAATTGCGGCATAGTGTCACAACTCACTCCATCGGGAACACCTCAGCATAATGGTGTTTAGGAAAGGAGAAATTGTACTCTACTTGATATGGTGTAATCAATGATGAGTCATACTTCCCTTCCTCATTCATTTTGGGGTTATTCCCTTGAAACCGCAGCTCGAATTGTAAACATGGTCCCAACTAAAAAGGTTAGTAAGACTCCTTACGAGTTATGGCATGGAAAGGTTCCATCAATGTCTTACTTAAATATATGGGGTTGTGAAGCATATGTTAAAAGAGAAACTTCTTACAAGCTTGACCCTAGATCTCAAAAGTGTATCTTTGTGGGATACCCAAAAGAAACATGGGTTATTACTTCTTCCAGAAAGAAGAAAATCGGGTGTTCATAGCCCGTAAAGCAATGTTTCTTGAAACTGACTTTATCTCGCATAAAGTAAGTGGGAGCCCCATTGACCTCGAATAAATTCGAGAGACACAACCTTTAGTTGAGAATGATAATCAACAAAGCATTGTTGAACCTGAAATTATCATTCAGATGCCGGAAACCACACCAACTGTACGACACTCCAGTGGAACTCGTCAGGAACCTAACAGATTTGGATTTGTCATTACTGAAGTGGAGGTCTTCTTGATGGATCAATGTGAGCTCATAAATTACAAGGCTACTACTGCAGACCCAGAGTTCGACAAATGGCTTGAATCCATGAGAACTAAAATTCAATCCATGAATGACAATCAAGTATGGGACGTGGTTGACTTACCTCCTAACAACATGGTTGTTGGAAGCAAGTGGATCTTCAAGAAGAAGATCGACATGGACGGAAATGTACAAACTTTCAAAGAACGATTTGTCTTGAAAGGATATACTCAAATTCAAGGTGTTGACTATGAAGACACTTTCTCAACAGTTGCTAAGATTAAATCTATTAGGATTATCATGGCCACAGCTGTATATTATGACTATGAGATATGGCAAATGGGTGTCAAAACCGCTTTCCTTAACGGATATCTTGAGGAAGATGTGTATATGGAACAACCTGAAGGTTTTTTCAAACCGGATAACCTAAAGAAGGTGTGTAAACTGAAGAAGTCATTTTTGGATTGAAACAAGCATCTAGGGCCTGGTATCATCGTTTTGATGAAAACATCAAAAAGTTTGGTTTCTCAGAAAGTCCCGATGAACCATGTGTATACATCAAAGCAAGTGGGAGCCATAGTGGTTTTATAATTCTATATGTTGATTACATATTACTGATCACCTGAAGGTTTTTTCAAACCGGATAACCTAAAGAAGGTGTGTAAACTGAAGAAGTCCATTTATGGATTGAAACAAGCATCTAGGGCATGGTATCATCGTTTTGACGAAAACATCAAAAAGTTTGGTTTCTCAGAAAGTCCCGATGAACCATGTGTATTCATCAAATCAAGTGGGAGCCATATTGTTTTTATAATTCTATATGTTGATTACATATTACTGATCGGGAAAGATATCTCGAAATTGAAGGAGACTAAGACCTACCTTAGTAAGTCCTTTTAAATGAAAGATCTAGGGGATGCTGCATACATACTCGGTATTAGGATCTATAGAGATAGATCCCAATGACTCATTGGTTTGAGTCAGAGTACATACATTGACAAAATCTTAAAACGTTTTTCAATGGATAACTTGAAACGAGGAATTGTTCCCATACTGCCTGGTACCATTCTTTCTAAGGCTGACAGCCCTAGTACTGAAGATGAGATCAAATGAATGAAACACATACTGTATGCTTCAGCAGTAGGTTCAATTATGTATGCTATAACATGTACAAGGGCAGATGTAGCTTATGCTATTAGTATAACTAGTAGGTATCAAGCTAATCCTGGCGAAAAACATTGGGTGGCTGTTAACAACATACTTAAGTACTTAATAAGAACTAAATATATGTTTTTGGTCTATGGAGGAGTTGAAGAAGAGCTTACTGTAAGATGTTACACTGACGCTGGTTTCAACACTAATCAAGATAACTCACGATCACAGTCGGAATATGTGTTCACACTTAATGGAGGAGCCATTGCCTCGAAGAGTTCAAAGCAAGAAGTGGTTTCACTTTCTACAACAGAATCAAAGTACATAGCTGCGTGTGAAGCGGCTCAAGAAGTTGATTGGATGAAGAAATTCATCGGTGATCTGGATGTTGTTCCAAGCATCAAAAATGCCATTGAGATGCTTTGTGACAACACTGGTGCCATCACTATCGCAAGAGACCCAATGGTTGCCAACAAGACTAGACACATTGAACGAAAATTCAATTTCATTCGTCAGGAATTAGAATTGGGAAATGTACGCATTGAAAAGATTCATACATATGATAATTTAGCAGATCCGTTCACAAAGGCTATACCTCAAAGCAAGTTTGAGAGTCATGCAAAAGGAATCGGTCTACGATTAGCTAGTGAATGGATTTAAATATGTACTTGACTAATATTTGTATCTTCAAAACTATGTAGCAATGATATGTAATCTCCTCTGAATATGAGATATCTCTTTTGTGTTGAATACTATTGTGTTTTATATTAGCATGTTATTTAATCCTCGAATAATGTATTTATTCAAAATTTGTCCATAGTCAATCACTGTTGTGGGAGCAACTGTGAATTAAGACTAATATGAATTGGCTTGGTTGATTTCAAGAGGTGAAATAGCAAAGTGTTGCATCCAAATTCATATGTACTTGTTTGAGAACAATTATTGGAAATGACCCGCATCAAGAGTCACTTCATGGACTGATATCATAAGTGAATCTTGATAAGAGGTAAATATCTTTATGTCTTTCGACCTAAGATGCATATTGGAGACCTCAAGTATGGAGATTGTTATACTTTGACGTGGTTAAATGATGTTCATAACTGTGAAGTTATAAAAGCCTCCGTTAGATAGAGCATGAACTATATGAGATTATGTATGTAGTCAAGATGGGATTTGTTCCTCTTATCTGTTGAGAGTTAGACATCTAAAGCGCCTTTCTTACAAGTTGGATGGAAAATGAGGATGATCACGTTCCATGTCTCATATCCAACATGATGTCTGTAACAAAGAGAATATTGATACACTTACCTTATACTTCAATTGTAGCTAGTTAGCTCATGGAATTGGATGTTGATTGATGGCACCCCTTCGCGTGTTATTAGGGGTAGTAGCCCATTGCTAGATGTCAGCTACTGTCTATGTCAGTCTTTAATGAATCTTGTGCAAGCGGGAGATTGTTGGATCTATATGCTCAAGAATCATTATTGAGTGATGTTGCTAATAACATATGATCCTATAGGGTCACACCTTAATCAAGTTTGTACTTATTGAATATTTATTATATATTTGATATTAATAAATAAATTCAACTCTTGTATTTAATTAGAGAATAATCATTGTTTTATGAAAATAATAATAAAAGAAACTAGAAACTAGCCATTATATGATATGGTATCATATAATAAGTCATGTACAAAGTTTTGGACCCTTTGGTTAACCATGATTAAGTTAAAGACTTACTCTACCATGGTTAATAAAGTTGTAGACAATTTTTGTCTCTTCCAAGTCATCATGGCTGAAACGGCCTAGCCTAAGGGAGATTGCTTATGTTTTCTTCCCAAGTTGGTGTCCATGTTTTGTCTCCTTTTCACTTTATGCTTTAAAATACTTTAGAGTATTTTAATGGTTTGACTTTACTTTGCATGGGTGTATAAAAGGGGAGTCTTGTGCATGAAATGAGTAGAGTTCTTTTAGTCTTTCTCCTCTCTATTTCTCGCTAAAGCCGAGAGCACCTAAAGGAGAGCCTCTCTCCACTTTTGAAGTTGGTGTTTTAGTTTTTAGTGCTTACTTTGTGTCTTCCTTCTAGTGCTTAATTCTTTAAGCACTCAAGGCTTAAAGATCAAAGTCATACAAGAAGAAAACTAGCATTTTGAGTTCCTTATCTTGTTGGTGGATTACTTCTAGAGAAGATCAAGCTTCTTGTTCTTGCCATCTACTTCAACACCCCAAATCCAAGAGGGTCCAAAGGCTACAAAGGTTGTTATTTCTAAACACCCTATGGTTGTTGTAACATCATTCTAACCTCTTTAAAAGGATCCTTGATGTTTTGTTTTGTTGTCACACTCGAAATTTATAAGAAAATTTTAAAGCTTTCGTTGTCGGTTTTTGTGAAAAACTATCTATTTTATGCAACAAAAACCCTTCATAATTTTCTTATCAATCATTCGATAAAATTCTTCAACTTTAAGGGATAAACTTTTAGTGATCATAGTTGTTGGAGTTGTGGTTGTATATAATTTTCTTATCGATCATTCGACAAATTTTTTGAATTAGAATGTCTAGACTAGAATGAATCTAATTCAGTTGTTTACGTGAATTTTGAAAAGCATACAGATTGAGTGTGTGCAAGTGTTTTGAAAAAGAATGGGTTGTTATCTTTTATCTTTATCTTTTTTAAGTGTAATTGAAATAATTGAAAAAAAAAGATTAAAAGAAATTAAAAAATGCATAAAATCCATTTTATATGCCAGGAGGATTATTCATGCATGATTTAAAAATCACAAGGACCATTCATAAAAAAAATGATACACTAAGTTTGTAACTTTTGATAAACCATATGGACAATTTATGTAATTTGTCTTCTTGAAATGGTATTTTGAAATATATAATATTACTGATTTTTCGATCAAATGTCATGTTTTAAGTCTTTCGTGCTATCTATTTCCCAATTGTTATCCACTTGTATTGTGTATATATTTTCTGATTGTTATGTATCTTAAACTTTTTGTTAAATTTAAGTAAAAAACGAACAATTCTCTCTAAAATATAATATGCATAAACATGTGAAGAAAATTTGACGAAGTCTATCTAAATTCATTAATGCAATAATGCAAAATATATGAATAAACTACCATCTCTCATTGACTAAAAGACTTTCATTATCTTGTAACTTTGAAAGAGTGCATTAAACCACAAAGGTTATTAATACTACAATAATAACTTGACTTTTTTTTTAATTAAAACAAATTAGAATACTTTATGCATGAATTTTAGCATGAATATTTTAGAATACCTTAACCCTCTTCAATATAGCCTTGGCCTTCTCATCACTCTTGAAATGGTCACGCACAGGCTGCAACACACGAAACTCATGTAAAGTTCATAAATAAATAAATAAAAAAAATACGAAATAAGAAGTTAATTCAGAACAAGACATGACATGACATATCATATTGTAGTATGTTATTGAAGTGCACTGAGACTGATATTAATAGGAAACAATATTTTTCTGTCCCGTCTACTAAGGGACAAGACAATACATAAAATGACATCATGTTTGCAGGACATGACATGACAATGGAGATTGTACTGCGTTTGGAGTGAATTGGATGAGAATTGATATTAATGCGACAAAAAAATGTTTTTTTGTCCCACCTAAAAGGGGGACACGAGATCTCTATTTGTGTTGTATGTACAAAAAGCATAAATGCCCTCCTCGTTAAATCATATAAACTATATACCTGCAATATCCTGTTCAAAGATTTGGATAATGCATGTTTCAAATCAGCAGGATGCAACTCCGCTTTTTCGTAAGCACCAATTAATTGTTCATAACTAGTATAAACCCTGATTTTTAAAGAAAAATGTCATCAATCAAATACCAATAAAATTAGACTTAAAAGAATAAAGAAACAAGAGTTATGACTTTTTTAAACTCATTTTTCACCTCCATTTTCCTCTTTCCTTTCAACCTTGAACTCATTAAACCAAGGGAATACAATGTATCTAATGTACTGAAGACATGGATTCCCATCAACAATATTGGGTGGACAATATGCTTTCTTTATCTTTAAATTAACCTCAGTCTGTTACATTCATCATACAAACTATAACAACATACTTTACTATCAAAAAAGCAATATATATGGGAAATTTTACCTCTTCATCGTCAATAAAAATAGCAGAAAAAGAATTAGATTTTGACATCTTTTCTTGTCCTTGTAACAAACCAGGAAGCATATCTACATAACCAAAGCAAACACAACAATCATATTAATTAAAAGGGGAAAACTACCATAAAAAAGAACACCATTATATTTTGGGCAATTTTGTTATTTAACGACAATTAATTTACTTTTTCGAATCAAACGAGAAAGTTTTAGACATATTTTTTTTCAAATTAACCATTTTGAACTGTTATATTAGGTTTCACTCATAATTTTGTAAAGTAACCATTCTGAGTTGTTATATAAGGTCAAAGTGATTAGATTTAAAAAATGTCAGAAACTTTTATAGAAAAAGAAAGAAACAACAATTATATTAATAAACGGGCAAATTTAAAAAGAAAAAACGAAGAAGAACAACATTATGTTTTGAGCATTTTAACCACTTATACTTTTTTTCTAGTCAAACTAGAAATGTTTCATATATTTTTTCAAATTAACCATTTTGACATGTTATATGGCGTTTCACTGATTATTTTTCCAAATTAACCATTTTGAGCTGTTATATCATGTCAAAATGGCTGAATTATAAAAATGTTTGAAACTTTCATAGCAAAAGCAAGAAGCAACAAACATATAATTATTTGGACAATTTTACAGTTGAACCACCAATACTTTATTTTTACCGATCAAACTATACATATGATTTTCAGACTTTTTCCAAATCTTTCATTTTGATATTTTTGGTAAAAATGGTTAAATCGGAAACAGGTCTATAACTTCTATGGTTTTGTTGGAAAAAATAAAGTCTAAGTGGTTAAAGAGAAAAAATAAAGTCTATAACTTCTATGGTTTTGTTGGAAAAAATAAAGTCTAAGTGGTTAAAGAGAAAAAATTACCCAAAAATATAATGGTTTTCTGTAATTTGTCCCTTAATAAAGCAACAAAAAAAACTAAAAGCAAGTTTACAACTTTGCCCTTACGATGAGATAATACGATAGGCTTGTTTTTACTTTTGATGTCATCATAGTACTCCCTTGCAAGAACATTCACTTTTCGTTGATCCATGCCTAATTGACAGATATCGGCCTATCCAAATGAATAAATTTATTTAATAAAATCATAAATATAAAATGACTATTTATCCTTGAAAAAAGATTAAACAATAACCTTGAGGAAAAATATATCAGCGCATTGCATGCTTGGGTAGAATATTTGAGCTGCAGTTAGTTCATCATGCTCACTTTGACCCATAATCTGACAACACCTACAATCATTGAGATAATGTGATTGATAATATTAAGATATAAATTGAACATATTTATAATTATTCTACAACCGTTGAGATAATGTGATTGATAGTATTAGGATATAATTATCAAATTTATAATTATTCTATAGCCATTGAGATCGATAATATTAGGATATAAATTTAACAAATTTATATTTATTCTACCTCGTTATTCTAGGAAGTTTGTTTCTTCTAGCAATATCCATGACTAACGGCCAATATTCACGTGCCCTTGCATTAATTTCTTCAAAAGACCAAATAAACTCTACTTTACCATCTTCCAAATTCATGTCTGCAACTTTCCAGATCTCAATTAAATAGTGTCCAACAGTTTGGATTTTGTTTAAATCTCCACCCATTTTGTTGTTTAATTGAGCAAACCAATCTGCTATCCAAATCTTTACTTTGCAACCAATAGAAGTGAGCTTGTTAAAATTAATCGTCTTCATAACACCCTGTTCAACAAGAAACATAAGAAACATAGAACATGAGATGATTAAAATAATTATTTCAATCAAATATAGGTTTATGTTTTGTTAAATACCTGAGCAATATGCATTCGGCCATAGGGTTCAAACCCATCATAGCAGATGGGTTGGGGATTTCTGGTAAGAAGATTCAAGAGTTATTCCTCCTGGATGCATTCTTCCCCAATACTCCTCACAATCCTGAATTTTTCTTCAACGCTCATCCTAAACAAATAACACCGAATTTGTTCAATTCATTATCTTTAATTGATAGGAAGAAAAACGATTATAGGCCCTCTTCTTGGAAACAATGCTTTTTATTCTCTTTGATTTTTTTTCTAATAAGAGGAATTCATTAACAATGCATACTTTGTTAATGGTAAATAAGTTTGTAGAACCTATTAACAGGAACAAGTACTAAATCACGTAAACAAGATATTCATTACGCTGAAGTTCATCATAACTAAGATCTATATAATCCCTTTTCCTTTTTTGTACGATATAGGATTTCAATATCTAGATGCTAATTTTTTTACATTGTATATCATAACGTTTATATAAAAAAAGAACATTACAATGTTTAAGTTAATAATGAATACATCAATAACATCATAAAACCAATTAACATCTTAGTTCTCATCATACAACGAATGAGAAGGCAAACGGGCAACAAGTTGCACCGCTAAGCCCTTTTCTATGGTAAAGCCAATTCTACATTGTATTGATAAAAATTGAAATAATCAATTGCTACATTGTACTGATAAAAACTAAACATTTACTACATTGATGATCTAAATTTAAAGTTATTGGACTTGATCTTCTCTCTATGAAACTTCATTGGCATTTGGCAAGTACAATGAGTAATGTTTGTATCTATTTGCACATGTGTTGTAGAAGTCTTTGCTTTGTTTTGTCATGCAGGTCATAGAGAATCGGGTTTCACTTTTTGCATGTTTCATTCTTTAATATTTTTCTTCTAATTTTCTGATCTATGTTCTTTGGAATATATCTTTGTTACCTTCATCATGTATATATATTTGATGTTGTTCTTTGATTAAATATAGATATCACATGGGATTTATCTGTAATTCTTAATTTCTAACTTCACTATACTAGTTTTTGAGGGTGCTTATATTTTATTCGTTTCTTACATGTTGGTGTAATCCGATTAAAGGAATTTTGTTTGATTGATATGAAAATGGGGGAGTTTACTAATGAAAAATTCTTATAAAGGAAGTTTTACCTTCTGAAAAACATTCAAAGGTATGTTGATATTGATATTCTTCAAGAGTTTTCTTACATTCTAATGATGTTGAATTTATTATATATTAAGTTTGTTACTTTGTTTTGAGCATGAACGTCACATAGATCATGGATGATGAAGTTAAAAATTATGACAACAATGTAATGTAGTATGATATTATTGCAACTAATATGTGGGTTGCAACGTGACAGAGTTTTGTATTGTTTCTTTGTAGGAGAAATGATCCGATCTATGTGGGTGGATTTTTGTCACTTTCACTTTTTCTTTTAAGAATTCCCCTTTAAAGCTTTGAGTTGTTGGAGTGTAACGTCCAAATTTTCAAGGCAAAATTTTCATTTGTATTTTATCAAAATATAAGTCTTACACATATTATATTACACATTTAACTATAAAAGAGAGTTTTAGTGGAAGTCTTAAAGTATTTTATTAATGCCTTCGATGTAGGTACAATCATGCATGATCCTTTTCTCGATCCGAAGAACAACTTGAAAAGCAGTTATTCAACTATTGTAAGTTGATGATTAGTGAATCCCCCCAAGATACCATATAACACAATACATATACAATGTATACACATAATGACCTTCTACATATAAACTGGTCTGCCCTTTTTCCTTCAGCATAACGCTGGTCCGCCCGAGTATATTGGCCTTCAACACGAAGTTGGTTTTCCCTTAACTCCTACATATATATAGATATGTTAACACTTCTCAACACGATATGAAACTAACTAAGCTAGTCTAGTGGACTAACTTCATGCTACATGGAAACTATATCCTAACATACAAAGGATATATACTGGAGTATAGAATATAGTGAGAAGAACTCACCTGGACAAATTCTCAGAGGATTAACAGTTAACCGGACAATTCAACCGGCGAGCAACATGCCAACGAGGATTTACCTATAATACTATAGTTTATTAGTTCTATCAAATAAGAATCAGCCAGGCAGGACAATTAGGAGGCATGATCATTTCAGCATATAGCTTTTCTGAAATCCAATAGCCAAGCCAATGTGACCATTCTAGACACCTCTCCTGTAAGTAGATCAACCAGTAATATGACTGAAATTACTGATAAATCTTATTTACAGATTCATAATAACTACTAAAAATATAAATAAAAGTTACACTTAAAATCCTAGTAAGCGTAGCTTAACTTATAGAGAGTTTCTAGCAAAAATTGAGATTTACGCAGACAGAACTTCGATACCGAGCACTTCTATTTGTCGGGCCCTCCTATGTCACAATAGCTCACTAATTAGATTCTTCAGAACCCCAAAATACCTTAGAAGTTCGGATAGAGAGAGAGAGATAGATAGATAGAGAGAGAGAGAGAGAGAGAGAGAGAGAGAAAGAGAAAGAAGTGAGGTTTTTGGTGTGGAGAATGGAGAGCAAATGAAATCTACTTATAAGAGGTTTTCTGGGGAGGCGTGTCACGCATTCTATAAGGCGCGCCATGCCCTTGGGTGGTGCTGGAGGGTGTTATGTGTTGTATGCTCGTTGGTCCACGTTTCACCTTTTAAAAACGTGCTAGGCTCCCACTGGAAACTTCAAAAATTCGTATCTTCTTTATACGAACTCCGTTTTTGACATTTTTTATATCCACGCGTAGCTATCAACGATATATACAACTTTCTTTTAGAATCCATAGACTAATTCTAAATTTATTTTTAAATTTATATTTTTAACAAGATTAGACTGTTAAAGTCCGTGTAAAAATAATAACTCTCCCATATTACGTTCGTTCTCGACTATCTTTGTATCTACGGATTCATATTCACGAGATCTTTAACTATCGTTTAGATTGTTTTAGCTAACAATCAACCAATTTGAATTTCGATTTCTGTGTCCACACTGTTGCGTTGAAACTTCAAAAAATCATGACTTCCTCATACGAAGTCAGATTTGGACATTCCCTTTATACGCGATCTCGGTTTTAAGATTTCTACAACTTTTGTTTATATTTCTTAGGCTAAAAACAACCTATCTAAAATTCACTTTTTACGATAAGCAGAGCCGTGTTGGTTTATTCGTGAAACTTCAAAGAAGTGTAACTTCTTCATACAAAGTCGGATTTGAGCGTTCTATATATTTATGAAAATCATGTTGACATTTTCTACATGATTATGATGATTATTTTGGCTCAAAAGTAATATATTTATACTTCGTATTTCATAATAATTGATTAATATTACAATCTATGAAAGTAGTAAAAATGGGGTGTTACATGGATCTAAACACAACGTTAAACATGCGAAGAACTTCTAATCCTAATATTTTGTTTCTTATTTAAGGTTTTCTATTATTTATATATATGTAGAACATTTGTTTTAAAATAAATATAGAAGAAAAAGTTGTCGACTTATCGTTCTTATAAGCCCACTCAAAGGCTATAACAAAAGGAATATTTGTTTAATAAATTAGAAATGAGAAGATAGAATAGAGATGAAAGGGAAAGTTTTAGATGTAAATATGTCAAACTTATCATCAACATGAAATGAAGCAAAATCATATCTTCATCAAGTTACAAAAATGAAGTTGATTCTATGTAACTCATCTTCATCAAGTTACAAAAGCATATCTTATGTGCCAATTAATTCAACAACCACATGTAAAAGATAAATATTACATTACATGCAATAACTTTGGATCAAGACTTTGTTAAATTTAGTGAACCAGGTACATCCATGGGTATTGGTCTTAATTGTTGGGTAAACTCTTACCTTCTTATTTATTATTTTATGGTTAATTCTTATGTTAAGCAAATTATTCACAGCTTCGATTAAACACTATGTGACAACCCGAAAAATTTTAAATTTTGCCTTGCAAAGCTCAGCCAGTCAAGTCAACCGAGTGTCAGACTCATTCCTGCTATCATTTAGCCTCATTTGGAGTCCGTTTAAAGGTCCAAAGGTCAGTACATTCGAGCTTTGAACATAAAAATGGATCGCGTACACTTCTAGCATCAAATCCGGGCCTTACACTCCAACATCAGGAGTGTACGGCCGCACACTGGGTGTGCGGCCGCACACCCCTCTCCTGGCCGTACACCCACCTCCATATATAGGAGGAGACCCCCTTCACTTATTCCTTTCATTTGGCTGCACTTTACTTTCTCTCTCTACTTTCTCTCTCTAAAAACTTCATCCAAGAACACTCTAAGGGCCTCAAAACGTGAATTTCTCCAACATTCAGCTTGAAATACTGGTAAGACACCTTGATCTAAGCTTAAAACTCATCATGTTCTTCGTGTTCTTCATCACTTGAAGGTGTACGGCCGCACACCTTCATAAGGTGGCCGTACACACCTCAAAAACTCTCCAAGGTGAAGAGTTTGGCCTTCATTTGCTAGTTGGACTTTGTATTGGCCTTTAAACACCCGAAAATCGACATTTTGAGCATGAATGAAGAGTGTACGGCCGCACACCCCTATGTACGACCGCACACTCCCTTGTACGGCCGCACATCCCTGTGTACGGCCGCACACTCCTGTGTACAACCGCACACACATGCTGACCGCACACCCATGGCCGCACACTCCTCAAAGTGGCCGTACACTCCCTTTTTGTGAATCACATGTGATTCCAACACTCGGACAAAGTGTTACTTAGTCCCGTAAGGTGTTTCCTTGCATTTGGTTGCTTCTAAGCACTATATTTATGTCAATTTATGACAATGTATATCATTTAGGACTTGTTGTGTCTCGGGACATCATTCGTGGAACTTCTCATCCTTACACGCATATTCGTTGAATCACCCATATCAGGTGAGTTCATACCCCGTAATGAATCTTTTAATTGTTTTAACTGTTTTAAGGGGGGGGGGGGGAATACAAGTTGAACACAATGATAATTGTGTAAATGTTTGCTATATACATCTTTCAAAAAGATTACTTATGTCTTTTATAAGCGATCAAAACATTTCGAAAACTCTTTTAAAGTTATGTTACTTTATAGC